AAATTTGTGTTGAAGCAAAACTAACTAACACACCTTTCAAATCGGTTGAAAGAAAAATTGAACCACTTGATTTAACCAATAGTGATTTGTGCAATTTTAAATCAACACAAACAATAAGCAGTAATAAATATTTTATTATGTTTATCAATGATAACACACGTTATTGCTATGTGTATTTGCTGAAAAGCTCCATCGAAAAATTCATTCTTTATAAGAATGAAGTAGAAAACCAAATTAGTCACAAGATTAAGAAGGTTAGAAGCAACCCAGGTGGTGAGTACAAAACAACTACTGGTGATTTTTGTGCTAGCATTGGTATCGTACACGAGCGTAAGTACGGCACCTTGCACACCTCAATCGAATTGTGTTATTGAACGTATGAATCATACATTGAAAGAGATGATTAATGCAATGTTGATAAGTTTGGGCTTATGACTTACCTCAAAATATGTGGGGTGAGGTTATTTTGACAAGTAACTACCTTTTAAATAAGGTACCCCACAAAAAGCTCGATAATACCCCTTACGAGCTATGGAAATATAGGAAGCCATCCTACCAATATTTGAAAGTATGGAGGTGTCATGCCAAAATATTGGTGTCAACGCCTAAGAAAATAAAAATAGGTCCTAAAATGATGGACTATATTTTTATTGGCTACGCACATAATAGTAGTGTCTATTGGTTCTTAGTAAACGAGTCATATAATATAGACATATATAACAACACAATAATTGAACCGAGATATTCATCGTTCATTGCAGAAATGTAGATGTATTTCTGTGCAGGTCAAGTGAGGGACCTAGTATGTCAAAACGAACTTTTGACGTAGCTGTAGATATTGATAGTGGGCAATCTTATAAAGAACCCGAACTCGAGCCTAGACGTAGCAAACGGGCTAGAGTCGAAAAATCATTTGGTCCAAATTTTCTAACTTATTGTTATAATATGATTCTAATATTCTAACATGTTTGTTACAAAATGATCCTTGAACATTCGTAGAAGCCGTAACTTCTATGGAATGACCAATGTGGAAAGAAGGGATCATTAAAAGTGAAGTTGATTCTATTCTACAGAATCAAACTTGGGAACTAGTTGATCTTCTTCTAGGTAGTAAACCCTTGGGATCCAAATGTGTCTTTAAAAAGAAGATTAACTCAGGTGGTTCTATCAAGAAGTATAGACTAGACTTGTAATTAAAGGCTACAGGCAACATGAATGCCTTGACTACTTTGACACTTATTTTCTCGCACCAAGAATAAATTCCATTAGAATGATACTTGTCATAGCCGCATTTTGAGACTTGGAAGTTCATCAAATGGACGTAAAAACCAATTTCTTAAATGGCGAGTTAGATGAAAAAATCTATATGGAACAACCTAAAGGGTGTTTTTTTCCCCGGCCAAGAGAACAAGGTGTGTAAATTTGTTAAGTCGTTAAATGGTTTGAAACAAACGTCTAAGTAGTGGCATGAGAAATTTGATCATGCGGTGTTAACTAATAGATTTAAAATAAACGAGAGTGACAAGTGTGTCTATGTTAAAGAAATAGTAGACGGTTATGTCATTCTTTGATTATATGTAAATGATATACTCATCATTGGTAGTAATGATAAAATGATCAAATTTACCAAAAACATGTTAAATTTATGTTTTGACATGAAGGACATGGGATTGGCTTATTTAATCCTTGAGATATATAAAAAATCATTATAAGACCATATGGTCTTGTGTTGAGCTAATTTCACTATATTGATAAAATCCATGCAAAATTTAACAAGGATGATAGTCTATTAGCTAGGAAGCCTTTAGATACAAACGTCAGGGCCGTCCCTGGCCATGTCTGGCCAGGGCAAGCGCACAGGGCCTCCAAATTTTGGGGGCCCCCAAATATTACATACGGTCATAAGTAATATATATGTGCATTTGGGGGCACTTTTATTAAAAAAAAAAAACAAATTATTATTTTATATTTATATTTTATATATTAGTGTAGGTGTAATTTATGTATAAAGAAATCAAAACGGTCTAAAATTCTTAAAAGTTTATATTCCTAATTCTTAAGGACTTGATTTACGTATAGAGTTATAGTCCTATAACTTATAGGAATTGAGGCGGGCCTATTTGATTATTGTAAAAATGATTATATATAAAGAGTAAAAAATTACTCTTATTCCTATTATAATGCATACACGCAAGATTTGTATTTACAACGCAAGAATTCGATCTTAGTAATCATTAATTTAAAGTGCGTTGTTTGTGCATTTGGCATCCTCAATTTTTTTATTCTTCACGATAAAAGGATGAAGGTATGTAAATAATTAAATATTTTAATTCTTTAATTTTATTCAAAATTTTTTAAAATTATTAATTCAATAACTAACCCTAGCTAGAAATTTTTTTGATTGGTGAATAACAATATAATTTCTTGTATTTTGATACTATAATTGCAATATCAATTAGTCTTGACTATTTTCATTACTGTTGTTTACGCATAAAGAAGTTTTTTAAAGTTAAAGTTGTTGAAATCCTACTTATGATCAACTATTTTGTAAAAAAGACTTAATGGATTTGTGAATAATTTTACATCTGCCGAATAAGAAGAAAAATGTCGCTTTTCAAGTGAAATTTTGAATAATTTTTTTTTTTTTTGTAGACTATTATATATTTTGGTACAATACAATATATCTTTTATATATTTACAATTATATACAAAAAGGGGGGCCAATGTTAATTTTCGTACAGGACCCCAATTTTCTTAGGAACGGCCCTGACAAACGTCCATCGATCCAAAAATTGTGAAGAGTGTATTTCTCAAGTAGAATACACTCAGATTATTGATAGTTTGATGTATATAATGAGTTGTACGTACTAGGCCGAATGTTGCCTTTGCGGTTAGAAAACTCAGTGATATTCATTGGAAGGCAATCATGAGGGTTATGAGATACCTAAGGTATACTTGTGACATTGGACTGCATTACATGAGATATCTGTTTTTATTTGAAGGGTATAGTGACGCTAATTAGATATCATATATTAAGGACTATAAATCCACGAGTGGCTACGTGTTCATGTTAGACGATGCAATCATTTAATGAAAATCCTCAAAACAAACTATGATAGCTAGATCTACGATGGAATCTGAGCTGATAGCCTTGGACAAATGTTGGAAAGAGGCTGAATGTCACGTCATTTGATTGAGGATATTCCTAGTTGGGAAAAACATAGTACATTCAAATTTTGTGCATTGTGATAGTCAAGCCACAATTGGTAGAATTTAGAGTAACATGTATAATGGTAACTCTAGACATATACGTCGAATACATAATACAATTAAACAACTTCTCATAATCAGTGTTGTCTCGGTTGATATGTAAAGTCAAAAGATAACATAGTGTATCCGTTAACCAAATGATTAAATAGAGAGTTGATTAAGAAGTTGACACAAGGAATGAGACTAAAGCCCTTGGACTAAACGTTCTATAATGGATACCAACCTACCTGTCACCTAGGTTCAATGGGACAACTAAATCATTAAAGGAAGCGTATCACTGTGGGTGTCTTAGAGTCCCAACCACTCCTCGTTGAACAGTGACTCTCGCACGAGGCTAACTTAGCATCTGTTAATGCTTTAATGATTCGAAGTGTTGATTGACATAAGTGGAGTATGTGGGATACTTGGAAATGTATCACATATGTGATAGATAAGTGAGATCGCTTCAAATAAAAATTGATTAGACTCAATTATTTAGAAACTCTTGATGAACTAGGAACAATGTTCCATGACCAAAATAACCCAACTTTCATGCTTAAGCAAATAACCAAGTCCAGCATTTATTAAGAAATAGAATCAATAGCATGTCAAGGTAAATCACTAATAATCAAAGAATGATATGTGACAAAGCATGTAAAAGTATGCAATGATATCACAACTTTGGAGCAAGCGTAGGAAACAAGGAACAAGTTTAGGGAACTTAACAGAAAGTGATAAATAAACTCACAGTCTCACCGCGTATCCTAAGAACATAAACACCTAGAGTTCAAGCTTAATGTCCTAAAGTCTTGACTTAAGGGCCTTATCCTAGGGTCGAACTTAGGATCTGATACCAACTGTAACACTCCTAAATTTTAAAACATTTTAAAGCTTATGAAATCAATGCAAATCTATTATTAATAATCCAAACAGGGCATAAACTAATCATAAGAGTCGGGGTGTTATGCCACACCTAGGTTTAAGAACCTAGATGCACATGCTACAACTAACTAATCTAAACATAATCCAGAATTAATATTCAAATACAATTCAAGGCACACAGGCTATAGCAACTATGACTAGAGCTAAATCAGCGGGTCCGTCTAGCGCACTCTGAAGCTACTGATCAGTACCTGAAAAACATGCGGTGTAACAACCGTCAGCGAATAATGCTGGTAACCCACTCCCACGCGTTAAGTACAATATAGGTAGATATAAGAAAATCATTTTGAAACCGGAATACAAATATAACCTAAGCAACTCTAGCTTTAAACCAAGATCAAGACTCAAGACACAACAACAGACTTGACACAATAGAACAATCATAAAGGCTAGCATGCATCCTAAGAACACGTTACAAGACATAATAGACAAATAAGCTCATAAATAGCAAATAGACACAACAATGGCATTCAAAGACAATCAATTAACAAGTAATCATCAAGACACACAATCCATCTTCCCACCTTATACCAAGTTCCAACCTTGTGGCTCCCCTCCGTCCTTATATCAGTTCCAACCTATACCTCCAGGCCACCCTTATATCGCCTCCCTTATTCCTCCGGGCAACTACATGCCCCCACCGACAAACCACCTATCAACCACCAACGTATCAAGATAGCGCCGCAGTGTTACCGCCACGCGCAGTGTTAGCGCTGCTCTCGGATGGCACTATTGAATTGTGCTATAAATTCTACCAAGCTGCTGTGATGCTTTGTAAATTTACCAAAATAGCTATTTTCAGATTCTGATCATGAAGTTGTCCTGAGGAGTCCTCCCATTTCTATGTCATTGAAGTAGGCGGGTATCCATGACGCACGTGCTTCATACAATTGGGCAAACCATCTATGTTCTTCAAGTTGGTAGTCTTTTATAAGTGTGTCCCATTTTCGCTTGAATTCATCAATGGTCAAGGTGTCATCCCATACGGTACTATTCAGTGCCTTGTTGAAGTCGGTGTTATGCCACAACGCAACCCCTACCTTCTCCCCTACTTTTGTCATAATGTGCCACATACAGAATCTGTGCCTAGCTGTTGGCATAGCTTGTGGCATTACTATCTTTAGCGCTGGATCTTGGTCAGTTATCGTACATCTTGGGGTGTATTCCATCGCGGTTTTAAACTTCTGTACTAGCCACTCGTACGACTCTACGTCTTCTTTTGCAATTAGTCCCGCACCAAACGTAATGCACCTTTTGTGATTATCCACTCCGGTGAATGGGACGAAAACTAACTTGTACCTGCAATGTAAGTGTGGTTGGAATTAGTTTTGCACACATCTCTACGTGGATGTGCTGTTGCGCACAGTAATGATGTACGGAACGCACACATGTGAATTCCGTAAACCCAGAAACCTGCTACGCACACATTATTCAATCGCATGCACAGATGGCGTAACAGAAGCATAATTTATTCTCAGTAGTACCTGTTTGTGCTGTATGTAGCATCAAATGACATCACATCGCCGAAGCAAGCATAATTCCTTCGTGATTCTGCGTCTGCCCAGAATAACCTAGATAACTGAGCTTCTTCGTCTATATCGAAATCGAAATAGAAGTCCGGATTTTCTTCTTTTCTTTTGAACATGTCTTCAATCACCATTTGTGCGTCTGCCTCAGCTATGTACGCTAATAGGTCACGCCTAAAATTGCAGAAGTCGATGCATGTTGCTCCTATATCCGTAAACCCTCCCACCATTTCTTTGAATAACCTGAAAGCTTTAGTTGGCCCGATGTTTGCCTTTGCACAGTGTGCCAAAAAGTTTTGTGGCCGATGTCTAATTGCCGATTTATCTTTAAGAAAGGTTTTCCCTGTTCTGAGCATAGGCAATGTGTGTGTTGGAGCACGAGTGCGTGGACTTTGTATCCTCCAGTGTCGCACTTCGTCATTACCATACGTGCTCTACAGCCTATCCTGTTGGACACTCTCCTTCGTCTCTTTCGTGCTTTTGAGTCGTTGTTGGTGTCTTTTCTTTCGGCCTTGTACCCCTCTCTTGAGCACAACATGTACTTAATTGATACTTCTCCCATTCGATTTCTACGCTTTGACCCGTGTCTAACGTCAAATCCCGCGTCCTTAGCGTATGCTATGTAGAAATCAATCCCGGCATCCACTGCTTCGAATTGCTGTCCCTCGTATGGGGTCTTCTCTTTCTCAGTTGCCGGTCTCCAGTATTTCGGACCGTCTACGCCTATTTCCATTTGACATTCGTGTATTCCGTGTCCGCAATTATCTTCACCTGTTCATCACACCAAATAGAGTTTACAGGTGTACGTCAGTTGTTAATTACGTTATATACCCCGCGAATGTCAGTGTGGTTGTTTCAATTTTTTTTTAAGTCGGTTTTAAACATGCTTCCGTGGGATTCTGAAATTGTGCATGGACTCACACAAAAGCGTGCACGTCGGGTGTTAAGTTTGCCCAGACAGTGGTGTATGTTATTGCTACTGGTGTATAAGGTGTGCGTTGTATGCTCTGTGCGTGTGCATCCAACATTACTGTCATTTTTTTACAACAACCAGTGTGTGTTCATGCCATGTGCGTTATTATGCTTTTCAACTACTCCTACTGTACAGAGTAACCGCGGAGCACAATTATCATATTCACAAAATGGGCTATGCAATGTCTATTCGTATTATATGCTTCACCTATTCTAATGATTAACAAAATAATTACCTGTTTGTGTTGGTGATGTGTAATCCATTGTTGACTCTGCTTCTTCACGGTCGTTGTTTGCCGTTGGTGCCGCTGATGTCGGAGCTTCGTTCCCGTACGTATCTTGCTGTTGCCGTGGGGGTAGTTTCTCGCTGGGTTTTGGAGACTTGGAATGCCGTGTAGTGTGGTGTGTGATTCATCAGAATCCAATTATACTTAAATTAGTCTTGTTAATTTAGGTTAAATATCTCAATCCTATTTTTACCCAAATTAATACTCCCATCCATTGTCTTAATTACCCTTGTAATATTTGATTGGGATTCTGATTTATTTTTTCCCACAATAATCTAATCCCTTCATCTAATCTAATCTAATGGTCCATATTAGTCCATAGGTTTGTATTTTAAGGGTGTTTTCACTTGAATGCAACCCTATATATATATATATATATATATATATATATATATATATATATATATATATATATATATATATATATATATATATATATATATATATATATAGAAGTTTAGGGGAATATGTTTAGAGTAGTAGGGATATACATATTTATGTATAAATGTTTGTTCAGGGGGTTCTCATCTTAATGATCAAGAGTTTCAGACAAGGCATTGGAAGCTTGTGGTTCACCATGCAACATGGACCAAAGTCTAGAATGATAGTTTTAAAATAGTTTGGGGGTTCAAATAGATTTCTTCCAAAAATAATTTCGAAGTGACCACTCGGTTTACGTTTCCCAGATTTCTCCCAGTTTCACTCAGATTGTCTTTTGGTTCAAAACCTTGTAAATATATGTATAACTATGTACATGTATATTATAACTACGAGTATAGTATTGGGCCCAACATGTAATAGGGTTTATGACGATATTAAGTAATAGAGTTAGTGTAACACCCCCGATTTTACCACATTTTTAAAACTTAAATTCAAAGGAAAACATCTAATCATCAAGACATAAAGCAAGCGGAAGCTATATAAAATCGGTAAGTGTTATGCCACACCTATCTCAAGCATAGGTGCACATACGGGAAAACTAACAAGTCAACAAAACAGTAAACGTCTAGGCACACATGCCGCTAAACTAGGCACACAGGCCAACAAAAGGTAACGTCTAAACATGGTAGCTACTCTATCTAGCGATCCACATCTAGCGCTCTCAACATCTACTCAAAACCTATAGAATCAAGGGATAACACCCGGTTGGCGAATATTGCTGGTAACCCATCAATTCGCGTTAAATAACATATATAGATAGATATAATCAAAACCATTTGGAACGGGAATACAATATATATCATTTCAAAACCAAAGAGAGAAGTCAACACCAAAGACTCATCAATCACTCTCAAAAGAAACGAGGATCATCATCCTCACGACATCAACAAGACCACAAACATGAAAGACAACACAACTCAGGATGCACCCTACTGATCACAAAGTAGAGTACATCAAGACATGCTCATAAGCAAGGAAAACACATTCACACGGTGACAACTCCATGTCACAAGTATCATAGTTCCAACCTTATGCCCTGTTCCAACCTTATGGCTACCCCCGGCCTTATTTCGGTTCCAACCATTACCTCCTAGTGCCACCATGTACTTCTAAGTCCAACCTTTTGCCTCCGGGGACCGTCGCCCCCCCGTTGACACTCCTATTCACCACCGATCTCTCAGTACACAAGGGTACCATTAAATATCACATCACAAAACCGCCAATCTCGTGAGCAAAGCTCAAGTAACAAACCACCAATCTCAATCATAGTCACACAAGGTCATCATCATTACCAAGAAGACTAAGACTCAACAATAGTCTTAATCAAGTATCAACAAAGGTACAACGATTAATATACGATCATATCATAGGAATCAATCAAGAGATCACAATAAAGACATGAGACCATACTCAACAACAAAGGATTCCAATCCAACACCAAATGATTGTCAACACAAGTTGGCAATCTCAATACGAAGGAACAAACCACACACACTAGCATATCAACATCAAACTAGCATGCTTATCAAACGGGTAAACCAAAATTAGTTCCAAAGAACGTTTAAGACTCACATTAGCCCAACGAATCACAAAGTTGGACCCTTAGCACGATTCAAGACACCAAATCCTACATGGATTCCTAACACACCGTTCTAGACATAAGAAACATCAAGAAGACTCACAAATAGCCCATTAAAACAACAATGGGAGGTCAAAACATCAATACCGAGACGAAAGAATCACGGGGAATAAATCCCCGGTCATCAACCACAGTGTACCCCGCGGGTGGGGCCACGGGTGGACCTCCACCCGTGGTTTCGCCCGCGGGTACATATACCAACGAGGCCATGTACCCTGCGGGTGGGGTGGCGGGTAGGCCTCTGCCCGCCGTTCCGCCCGCGGGTACCACCTGTACTCCAAAATTTTCCTTCAGGGATTTTCAAAAACAAGGCCAAGTTCAAGTCCAAAACACCCAAAATCTCACACACAACAACAATATGACTTGAACCCAAGAAATAGCCAAGCAATGGCATTCAAGAACCCTAAGAACAAGCTCTAAACATGCATCACCACAAGACAATGCATCAAATCTCACAAATCAACACAAGAATCACAAGTAGAAGCCAAGAATCATCATATAAGTAAGAAAATAGGTTTTGTAAAGCATGGGTTACCTTTATAGCCTAACAACTTCCTCTTTTCACCCTTAAAAGCCTTTCCTAGAGCTCCTCTTCCACACCAACTTCTTACACATAACAAAACACGACAAAGATCCTAACTTTAGTAAAAGACACCTAAAAGGAGGTTAGAAACACCAAAAAGCCAAGGATCTTACCCTTCCCTATGCTCAAGATGAAGAAAGTAGGAATTTTGGGAGAAAATCTTGCAAGACTTGGATGCTCAAATTCTAGCTTGGAGAAGAAACTAAATCATTTTAGAGAGAGGCTAGAGTTTTTGTGTTTTAGGGTGAAGGGTGAATGAAATGAAAGAGTCTTGCTAGGTTAGCTTGAATCACAATTCTTAGGTAGAAAGACATTCCTACCCTTACTAATGTTGGAAAGACAAGGGAACAAGGGCACAACTCAAGAAGCACAAGGTACAACCCTTTGACTTAAGTGACTAGTCAAAATCTAGTCTTTCGACTATATATTAAATTTCAGGATTTTTAGAAATAGATTAGCAAGGAAACTTTGATTAATTCTTCAATTAATCCCCGATTAGTGTTTGGATTTACGGAGTGTCACCGTTAGGGGACAAGGATTACTACATACCGTATATATATATATATATATATATATATATATATATATATATATATATATATATATATATATATATATATATATATATATATATATATATATATACACGGTATGAAGAATTAATCCAATATATATATATATATATATATATATATATATATATATATATATATATATATATATGCTCCTATGTACCTATGCATTTATCTATTAATTATATATACGTAATTAGGAAATAATCCAACCTTCATGTTCAAGTATAGATTGTTATTCACATATTAAACACATAAGGAATCATCAAGGAAGACATACAAGCGCACAATGGATCAACAAAATGAGAAGTCAAGAAATCAACACACCGTACCAGTGGGCACGCGGTGGGAGGTCGACCGCCTGCCAGGGTCCTACTGGAACGTGACTATGAAGAAGGAATCACTTCGGGAAAAGTCCCAAGAATGCACAAATTCGAGTCCAAACAATTCCACACTCATATGAACAACAAAAGGGACTTGAATACATGGTAAACATCAAGGAATAACATTATTATGATATCAACAAGGAACACGAGAGATTTAAACGAAAGTTCAAGACATCATAAGGATCACACATCACATTCCTTCCCTCCTAAAGAATAAAGCTACGTTCCCACAACTTTTAGGCAAACTCATGCAAGTACTTATCAAGCTATAAGTTAACTACCAAAGAATTGAACAATCACAATTAAGAAAAGTGAGCAATTACCGGTCAAATAAAGTCGCCAATTGCAAGTTCCAAAATATTCAATCAAATAACAAATATTCAAATAATGCATATTGACCAAATAATTAAGCAATAATATGCAAGTCCTTAGCCGATATATGAATTAATTAATTAGGAAAATAACCCAACTTTCATGCTTAAGCAAATAACCAAGTCTAGCATTTATTAAGAAATAGAATCAATAGCATGTCAAGGTAAATCACTAATAATCAAAGAATGATATGTGACAAAGCATGTAAAACTATTCAAGGATATCACAACTTTGGAGTAAGCATAGGAAACAAGGAACAAGTTTAGGGAACTTAATAGGAAGTGATAAATAAACTCACAGTCTCACCGCGTATCCTAAGAACTTAAACACCTAGAGTTCAAGCTTAATGTCCTAAAGTCTTGTCTTAAGGGCCTTATCCTAGGGTCGAACTTAGGCTCTGATACCAACTGTAACACCCCTAATTTTTAAAACATTTAAAGCTTATGAAATCAAGGCAAATCTATTATTAATCATCCAAACAATGCATAAACTAATCATAAGAGTCGGGGTGTTATCCCACACCTAGGTTTGAGAACCTACATGCATAGGCTACAACTAAATAATCTAAGAATAATCAAGAATTAATATTCAAATACAATTCAAGGCACACAGGCCATAGCAACTATGACTAGAGCTAACTAATGCTAAATCAGCGGGTCCGTCTAGCGCACTCTGAAGCTACTGATCAGTACCTGAAAAACCTACGGTGTAACAACCGTCAGCGAATAATGCTAGTAACCCACTCCCACGCGTTAAGTACAAAACAGGTATATATAAGAAAATCATTTTGAAACCGGAATACATATATAACCTAAGCAACTCTAGCTTTAAACCAAGATCAAGACTCAAGACACAACAACAGACTTGACACAATATAACAATCATAAAGGCTAGCATGCATCCTAAGAACACGTTACAAGACATAATAGACAAATAAGCTCATAAATAGCAAATAGACACAACAATGGCATTCAAAGACAATCA